TACCCGAACCACTTTTTACTTACTTACTTACTTACTTACGCCTGTTACTCCCAATGGAGCATAGGCCGCTGACCAGCATTCTCCAACCCACTCTGTCCTGGGCCTTCTTTTCTAGTTCCATCCAATTCTTGTTCATTTTTCTCATGTCTATCTCCATTTCTCGGCGTAATGTGTTCTTTGGTCTTCCTCTTCTCCTTTGGCCTTGAGGATTCCATGTGAGGGCTTGTCTTGTGACGCAGTTGGGTGCTTTCCTCAATGTGTGTCCTATCCACTTCCAGCGCTTCTTCCTGATTTCTTCCTCCACTGGGATCTGGTTTGTTCTCTCCCACAGTACGTTGTTGCTAATAATGTCCGGCCAATGGATCTGAAGTATTTTGCGTAAACAACTGTTAATAAACACCTGTATTTTCTGGATGATGGCTTTTGTAGTTCTCCAGGTTTCTGCCCCATACAGTAGAACTGTCTTGACATTTGTATTGAAAATCCTGACCTTGATGTTGGTTGACAGTTGCTTTGAGTTCCAGATGTTCCTCAGTTGTAAATATGCTGCTCTTGCTTTGCCGATCCGCGCCTTCACATCTGCATCAGATCCACCCTGTTCATCAATGATGCTGCCCAAATATGTAAAGGTTTTAACATCTTCCAAATCTTCTCCGTCAATTGTGATTGGATTTGTGCATGCTGTCTTGTATCGGAGAATCCTGCTTTTCCCTTTGTGTATGTTGAGACCTACTGCTGCTGAGGCTGCTGCCACACTGTTTGTCTTCTCCTGCATCTGCTGTTGTGTTTGGGATAGAAGGGCCAGATCGTCTGCGAAGTCTAGATCATCCAACTGCATCTTAGATGTCCATTGTATCCCGCGCTTCCCTTCAGATGTTGACGTCTTCATGATCCAGTCGATCACCAGGAGAAAGAGAAAGGGTGAGAGTAAGCAACCTTGCCTAACACCGGTCTTCACTTCGAATGACTTTGTCAACTGTCCTCCATGCACAATTTTGCAGTTTAACCCATCATATGAGTTCTGTATGATATTGACTATTTTCTGAGGCACGCCGTAGTGTCGAAGAAGTTTCCATAGTGTTGTTCTGTCCACGCTGTCAAATGCCTTTTCGTAGTCAATGAAGTTGATGTAGAGTGATGAATTCCATTCAATTGATTGTTCCACAATTATCCGTAGAGTTGCGAGGATATTAATATGAATTAGAACTGAAGTTGTGTTAAGATGATTCATGAACATCAATGCTTTGAGAGTATTGTCTCAAATAAAATATAAAAATTACAACGGAAGTACAGGATTCTCATATTAGATACCTTGTTAAGAGTTTTCATCGAAATTTTCACGATCTTTTCTACTAAAGAAAGGTATATAGCAGATTGACACGTCTGTAAATTAATTTAAAACGGGAAAACAGAGAAATATACGTTTATGAGCACCTTCGAACGAAGTAACCTGAAATACACCAAGGAATAAGACATCGATGATAGTATTTAACGAGGTGACGTAATGAAGAGCTAATAAACTGGCTAATTTGGGTATAGGAAGAGTTCTGTGAGGGGTTGCAATGTAATCTGGTGTGAATGGTTCAATTGGCCACTTCAACTACTTGTTGTCTGTAAACCTAACATGGCTAGTTGTGGTGTTTGTATGAAATAATAATTGCTTTGTGCTTGACCTTTGGTTAATTTTGAATTCTAAATACAGTACGTCCGTTTGTGTCCACGTAGTTCTACTCGGCTGAAATTGCTCTGTTTTGTGAATTTTTAGTTAATACAATGATTTGGATACTTCTAATTATCACACTGGCGTTGCGACAGAGCCTGTGTTTGAACAGTTAGATGTGTATTCGAATTGTGAAGCTTTCAAGGATTACATGGAAAGTTTTGTATATTCGACTATGACCAGGAACGATGTTTAGAATGATAAGACTGTAAAGTTTTCATCACTGAGAGTTGACCGTCTATTTTAGGCCCAGAATATTTAACAAATCAGCTTTCCTTGTTGCCCACTGACAGTATTTCTAATGAGGTTCTTGATAACTTGCTAGCTACGGAATAAAAGTACAGAAAATTACACAGGACTCCGATGTACGCTCATTTTCATGTGCAGGCAAGAAAATTCAGACTCTGAAAACAGGTGAACGGATTGTATTAAGAATTCGAAATCAATCAGAAACCAAACCTAAAACTGTATTTAGTTAATAAAAACACCACAGAAATTTAAAACTTCACTCCGAGTAACAAAAACTGCATCTATAACCCTGAGGTAGTGAATGAGCTTGATTTTCAGTCAATAGACATTTCGGTTAGACTATAATCTATGGACGACCATTGAGAGACGCTGGACTGAACTTTAGATTGTTAACATGATAAATAGGACCAACTGAGGGTTATAAATTTGTGTGAAGAATTCGACTTACGATTTACAGTTGATGGTTAATGTTGGGAATTAGATTTAGGGTTTTCATCACGAATTGACATCAGCTATAATGCCAAGACTATTTAGCCAAATTACAGCACGTTATATTAGCGTTCACTTGGAAGCAGGAGCGATCTGAAACAACAATACAACAGTCAATACCGGTAAATGCCTCTGAAGTAAGGACGTGGCGTACTGGACGTACTGGCAGAACAGATATATTTTAAAATTGAAAGATGCGATTCCAATACAAAAGGGAAACTTATAACAATATAGTTTTGTCCATTGTTCTGCAGGTTCAGCTTAGGTAGGGCTGGCTTCGCTTCCTCCAGTACGTTTGTGCTTCACTGCCCTGCAATAATAAAAACAAACTCATATTAGTAACGTTACGTGTAATGGGTGAATTTCGCGCCAAAATCTGAGGCCTGTTATCCTATACCTGATTGGTTCTTCCATAAATTATAGTCTGGCCGAAGTTTATATTACTTTGCTTCGCCGTCATGATGAACTACACACTCAGGTTCCTATTCTCGTAGAAATATGAAAAGTTACTCAACAAGAAATTGAGAAAATGTCACAAAGGTGAGCACAAGTTTGGTAAATGTTTATCCTGTGGTAAATTTCATTTTCCTAATTCGTAATGCTAAATGTTTTAAATTTGATTAAATTGGATACATCCAGTTAGTTCTCCAAACTACTGTCTTTCCGATGTTTCTAATGATCATCTATCTTCATCCACGATTCCGAAAGTTAATGCTCATCTTCCAAAGCGTTTATGTACATCCATTGTTTTGTGCCGTAAATAATTATTCGGAAAGAAATTCTATATATTTTTTTAATCATGAAGCTTTGAAATTTATTCATCATCCTGAAAAATCTTTAACATATTCTTCATCTGCTATTGTTCGACGATGAAGTATTGCTTTTAGCGCCTATGACTATACGGTTCAGCACGGGAGTGCCAAACCAATTCACCCTGTTGACTACATTTCCCGGAAATCATTACAAGATAGATTAGTAAATACTTCAGACTGTTTGTTAGTACAACTTTTGCCGACAAACGTCCATATCTCATTAGAGAAACTTATAGATACTTCGGATGTATACTCAGTGCTATACGGAATTGTTGGAATACTAATCTGAATTGTAGATTTCTTGTCTATTTTTTAAAGCAGGATGAGTTTTCCACTACTCCTGATGATATTTTGTGTACAAATGATCGTGTTGTTATCCCTGCTTCTTTACGTAAGTCCGTCCTCGAAGATTATCATGGTGTACATCTAGAAAATGAAGTCATTGGCAAGGGTCACATATTGGTGGCAAGAGATAAATACAGATATATGTCGTACAGCAAAAAATTGTGAAAAATGTCATAAGTTTAACAATTAGCCTTCGAGGTGGACTCCATGGCCAGTATCATCTGACGCGTTGGCTTACAATTCATGCAGACCATTATGGTCGATTTCTTAGCGAATATGTGTACTTATAGTCGCTGATTGTTTTTCGAAGTGGCCTGACGTTTCTTTCCCATCTTCACCAAATTCTGATCACAAACTTCAGACAATACGGAAAGTTTTTAGTCGAGATGGGTTTTAGAGCCTATGGGCACTCAAGAAACTAGACATATTCATCTGTAAAATATTGACAACAGAAATGTAGATAATCAAAAACCCTATCGCCCGTTCTTTTAAAAATAGAGAACTTTGACGTAAGTTCAAACAAAGGTAGCCAGAGAACGGTAAACCACTATGAAATCTGACACAATATAGTGTTAAGTGGGACATTGTTAACAAAAATTCACGCAACATCAGCGGGTAAATGTCAAAAATCTGTGGATAATAAGGAGAATTAGAAATGAATTCTTCTAATGAGATACAGATAAGCCAGAATGCAAAACAGGAAGAATAGAATAAGGAAGTACAAAGTATAGACACATTAGAGAATGGACCGGTCTATGACCAGTGAAAACAGTTCAGGTCGGTGGATAACCTGGGGTGATATCTGTGACATTTCAGTAGCTCTGTTGAGTTTATGCGCACACGTTCACTTATACAAAGGTAACCCCTCATCTGCCCCGTGTTTGTTCGTTCAGATATAAGGTAAACAATTTGGCTGGTGTATTTTAGCGTCAAAGATCGCTCCATTTTTTTTGTTGGATCAGAAGCCAGAGAAAAAAATTCAGTCGGTTTATACAACCTTGAGAAAAAGATACTACACATTCGATCAAAAAGACTTAAGAATTCTTACCTCCTGAAAACGCCTACAATATTCGAGACGGAATTTTCGATAGTTGTGATTTTTTCAGTAATTCATAGAAAATAAGTTTGGGAAGCAACTGAATCAAAAATACATACTTTAGGTTTACTCTTCATATTCACTTAAAAAAGTTTTCGTTCCTTCTAGATATAAACGTTGAGTACAAAAACGTAAATCTTTCATACATGAGGCGTTCTGCTTCTTTAATTTTGAAGTATGATAGTAGTGGTACAAAAGATTAATTGGACCTTTTCAAGGCCTTTGGACAACCTTTGTCAAGGTTAAGGAATCAAAAAGCTGGCGGCTTGGCGGCTGGTTTTTATGTATAATGTATAGACCGCATAGTCATCTGTCTGACTCTTCGTACATTCGCCTTGCTCGATCACTAAAATCATGCAAAAGTTATGATACTGTACGGTGCAGTTAGTAATAATGTTTAATGTCCACAGGTTAAACGTTTACTAGAGTTTTGCCCTACGTGTGAACCTAATGGAGGATATCTTCTGGACGGCCAAGCCCAGTGTTCGATTATAAGTCTCGGAGTATTCCTGGTCGAGTCAAACCTGAGGGTTTGGATTGTGATTACTGCTCATTTGTTCCCTAGTTTGTTGACAAGTTGTTACCCATTGTGCTCAATGTGTTACGAAAATTGCACAAAAGCTACTTGATAGATAATATTATCTCTTCTGACTTTCAAAGTAAAAATAATGCATAATAATTTTCTTTTGTTCAGAGCTTCCACAAGCTGAATGTTTTAGTTTCGCTCTTTCTAGTCTACTGACTCAAATCGCTATTTTAGATTCAACTCGTTCAGAAACGGTAAGTCTAAGGGAGCGTCTATCTTTATCTTCGTATATGTATTCGCAGTAAATTGGAGTGTAGCAGGAACCAGCATTTTGAGTCTTGTGACTCATTTAGTGCTTTTGGCACATGTGTTTATTAGTCTTTAATATTATGCAAATTTCTGCCTCCAATACATTCTTAGTTTCAAGTCAGTCATGTTGTTGTTACAATGTGGCTAGCCTGCAATAAACTATCGACCTAATATGTAATAGGCAAAGCAAGTACTCATTAAGTGGTTTTAATCTACTTATTATTTCATTTCATGTTGTTCTTTGAACTAGGATGTGTATAGGGCTTTATATGGTTCGAACCCAAAGTTAAAAACGGCGTATTCCTACACTACAGTCTATTTGCTGATTAATAACCATCTAGTGATGTGACGATATTTTTTACAAAGAAGCTTCGATTTAAAGAATAAAACCCTGTGTAAGACAAACATGGTGATAAAAAAATGCTTTTTATGCATGTTCTGACTTCAAAACACTTGCTGTACAACTATATGGTCTGAGTTGTGGAAACTGGTAATCTAGTATCTAAACAGCGAAGTCATGTAATTTCTTTCGCTAGTATATACAATAAAGCTTTTACAGTGTTATACCTAATCAAATGTCGCGTAACTACTTAGCTGTATAAAGATGAGGGAGTCTGAATCATGGATCAAGGGGATTCTATTTCCCTTTAATCACTTGACAACATGTGGTTTATCAAGAACCTATCCATTTATCTGTCTGTCTTATAACCATGTAGTGGCATTCTTGATTTCTCTAATTAAACCCAAAGCAGCTGTAGTCTTATTAATCGATTTATTTGTTCGAAAGTTTATGATTGTAATTACATTCGCGACTTTATGAGTGTTAATATCTGATTTGTTGCTTAAAACCTATTCCGTCATCTCGTCTTCAATAGATCATTTCTGGTATTTTGGATTCTGCAAGTAATATCATTGATCAAATAAATGAATTATTGCAGCAGCCCTTGGATCGTTTCGCAGCTGTTTCAGCTTTTCTTCGGCAGCCACGCGCCCGAAATACTTCACCTGACGCTGTTAAATTTCAAAGCCAACAGCTAGCAGCTGAACGACTGTGTACCTTCCTTGCTCCTACTCTTATCGGCCTTTTGAGGGGAGCTGCTCGTGGCGTTGGACATGTGACTTTTTCCACGGATTCTCACGAACAAAATTCGTCTGCAGTGATACCCCAGCTGTACCGGTCTACAAAATCTGTTAACTATGCAGACAAAATTAGATCGCGAACTTATAACATCAGTTGTCCTCATAAACTAACAGAAGCCACCTACGAATTCACCCTCAGTGTTTATCCTTCTTTTTGTTGCATAATACCTCATTCCCTCTCTCATTCACTACTGATGGGTACTGGTGATAGGTGTTTGGACACAACAAATTCAGGCAAGGGAATTTATTTTAAATCAAACTATTGTATTGCCACTGTATGTTTTATTTTTGTAAAATCAGATATAAAACTACCAGGGATTACATATATTATATAAAAGTTATCCCTGACAGAATTTATTATGAGTTGACCACTTCCGTGAAATGGAATAGGAAGTTTAAATCCTGAAATATCACTTTTTTTCAGACGAATATTTAAAGCGAACTATTTTGATATACATGATTTGAGAAATACGAAACAAATTTTGTTCAAAAATTATTGGTTTCTCTCAATGATTTATCATTGGGCTTTGCAAATCAAGATGCACCTCACTCTTAATTCTAGATCAAATCATGTTTCTTCCTGGGTCTGGTAATTTTCTTAAATCGCTTTTAATTAAAATTCCGTGGTACGGCTGATCGTGAGGGAAGTCTGCTTTCCCTCTCGAAATGCTCTCACATGGTCACGCGTACACAGCCACTTCTAGGGAAGTTCTGCTCACTGTTTTCTCATGGGGAGGGGGTTGTTTACGATATTAAGAGCATGAAACTTGAATGTCCGGCACTGTAACTGGGTCAGTAGATATGGAGGATCCACTTAGAGCAGTTGGAAAACCCTGGTTTCAAACCAGTGATGCACATGGGCTCCAGTATCCCGAGGGAACGAATGACGTAATAACCTATTGTTGGTCACCAGCTATCATGGGACTGCGTCCCTTAACGTTGCTCCACTCCCTATGGATTAGGTCTCTAAGTGAAGGGTTCGGGCTGTGGTCCCCCAAGAAAACAACCTGCTTCGGTTTGGGCACCCAGGGAGTATCCCAGGCTCCACAAAATTCGGTTGGTCAATGTGACACATATCTATTTGGTGCCTCCTTATACTAATGTTTATGTGTTCAAACAAATAATAACAAATAAGCAAAATTTTTCATATGTAGACTAGCATTGTTTACCTTTTCTAGTTTTCTAGGAAGTGTCAGTAGTTGCTCTCGGAACCCTTACAAAAGTCTTATTTTATCATACTGGATGTGAATGTGCAAGTTATTATGACTTTTCGACTAATTTTTCGATTCTGTAGAACTGAGGTATTTTTTTGTAAGCATAAATTATCTTTGTTTCTTGTATCTAAAATGTGGCTCCTTATTTCGATTGCTATCTTCCTACTTGTTGAGGTTTCGATTTTATGATTAGAGATGAACTGGGCTCCATAAATATATGATCTTTCAACCATCACGTAAATCCTTGTTATGACCTTAGATATCCTCTGGTAATAACGTTAGATATGCTAGGAATTAACTCACACCTTGCTAATGTTCCTGATAGTTTACGTTTCTCGATTTAGTTTTGTAACTGAAATGCTTGAGTTCGATTACCGCCGATTGACTTTGGGGAGGTTACTATCCTAATTATTTGGCTGAATGACTTCCTAGACAGTTGATTGGTTACTCAGGATTTCCTTGGAAAGGCCCAATGAGGGATAAGAATAAAGACGGATGTATTAACCCCCATATCTAATGATTCCGTGTAGCTGAAAAATGTACATTATTGAACGTATACATAACTAGACGGCAACGTACAATGATTAAGCAGTTACAATGTATTGCGAAATAAGACATTTAGAATACAAAGTTGGGATGGTAGACTCATGATAAAATTGCCATAATTTAGGGACGAAAAAGTGTATAACAACAGTTCATCAATCAAACTCAAGCTTGCAATTAAGGATATATGTATGTAACATGAGCTAACTGCTTGTAATTACAGATTAAAAGTGAAGCGTACTTATGTCCTTGAAAATAGCTTTTATAGTTTGTCATTCTTCACCACAATAATGCCGCATAAATTGTTCATTATAAAATAATCTTACTATTCTGAAATAGTTATCTGACTTGTTTTTGTTGAGTCGTTGAGTTTATTTAGATAGCATCTCCTTCTTTTACTAGGTATATCTCAGCTTATTTCTTTCCATATATTCAATTTCTCTCAATAGATAAATTATCAGATACTGAAGTTTGTGACTTGTCAAGTGATCATAACTGGAGTTGTTCATGGTTCAGTCCTAATGGAAGTGAATACTTACTTGGTCAGGTTGCATCTGTGTACGCATCTCATCTTCCACATCGTGCTGTAATGAGTGAGGATCACGTGGCTTGTGATGTTGTAACATTTTCGGAGTATCTGACATCTTCTAGTCGTTCTAACAATTTGGCCGTCACAATATTTACATCAAGTCAATTAAGGTCTCTTTTAAAAATGGTGAGTTTCGTATTTAGTTAATCACTATAAAGGTCTGTTATATTTTTCTCTTCCGCTTATAAGCCAGTATTTCGATGTTGTGCACGCAATTTTAAACTAGGCGGATCTCACATCACTCAACAACTGAGATCATTTGTGTAAAACGCTTTGTTATGAGTTAAGCATCGCCTTTGTTTTACAGCTATTAATATAAGTGCCGATTTAGGATCTTATCTATAAAATTTTTAGACTGTTAATTAAAAAGGAAACATTTTTACTCTTTTATAAGGAAAGATAGATGTTGGCTAGCAGTGGGATCCACGACGCGCGTTTCGTTCTATCTAGGGCTCGTCAGCTGGATGTGCCTTCATCCTATCCATCTTTACTTATTATGCTTGTAACTTAAGTCAGTGACGAGGCAATCCGCACAGGATGTACATATACCAATAAGACACTGATATGTTGTAGTTCTAAACATCATGGTCATTATATTTTCAGAGTAAATTATTCTTATGCATTGATAAGCATTTCAGAAGTAACTACTAATTACTTACAATTAGACATCTTTGAGAATAAATCCGTCAAACAATGATCGCTACCTGGAACCATTCTTTCTGGTTTTATGAGATGGTGGAGATTTGTAGCTCAGGCAGATGATTTTGGTGGAGTTTTGTTCTCTGAGCTGGATGGTTTGGTCCAGCTCAGAGAACAAAACTCCACCAAAATTCTGGTTCTATATTTCAGTTCTTTTTTGTTTTTCCTCCTTTACATAAAATCATCTTGTGTGTGTGTATTCTAAAATGGTATTCGTAGAAATGGTTAGTTATCTGAGAAATATTGACTTTTTTTAGTGTGTTGAGTTACTTGTGTTGCTTTTGATATAACTCATGATTTTCTTTAACCACAGTTGATAAGTTTACGTTTATTACAGATGTATTCGAATCCTAAATCATTGACTAATGAAACATACAGTTTTTCTTCTTTCCCAATAGTTTTATGTAGATTAATTCACGTATAAGTTAGCTTTAGCTGTTTATTATTATCCTAAAGGTAGGATTGATGCAGAATAATATGAATTAATTTAATTTCTCTAAGTTATCATTAGCTGTTTACAGTCTGTAATATTTTAAAATCAGAATTATCCCTAAAATTAACGTTTTTTGTGGAATGATATTACTGACCCCATACCAACCTCTCCTTCTTTACCCGGTCTTGGTACTGGGAGTAATCCCAAAAGCGCTTCAGGAGATCTGGCATGTGACTGGGTAGAATTAATGCATGTATGGAGCGAAATATCACTCTTTGCATGCATTTTCTAATCAATAGAAGTACTGTCCAGTAGGGTTTTTCCGACCCTGTAGCAATACAAATTATCACTCACCAATCACTTCTGCATATCAGTCTTGTTCATTCAACTTATATATTAATAACAATAAACAAAGATATGAATTGAATGAAAATTATGAATTCAAGAGAAAGATTTGAAATGATGAATGGTGCAATGAAATTGATATAATATTAACATGGTAAAGAAAGATTTATTACTGTTTGTTTTTGAATACATAGATCTAGTTCTAGACGTTTAGTCGCTATAGCTTCAGCAAACTTGAGATGATTGGGATTTGATTGTTTATTAATCATTGTAAATGACTTCAGTTTATCCATTTGATGTAATGTATCGAGGAGATGTCTTGAGGTGGCGCTTCTGGATGCTTTTGATCCACTTGACCTTCGACATTTCGGAATATGTCCTTTGAATTGTATGTAGACTGTCCTTTCTGTTCTAACAGTGTAACTACTTTAACGGGTACATGTGAAATTTGTATGGACATTTGGTGATAACATGAGAGATATAATTATCAACCTTTGATTGTTTTAAAGAACATGTTGGTTTGGTTTCTTCAAAGTAGTAAAAGGATCTATGTACATAAGATGTTTGTTATTTTATTTGTAGGGATTTTGTGCAGATTTGATTTATATGTTGCGTTCTTCGTGTTCGAACAGAGTTTAATGATAGTCACCGATATATCACAAATTGATTGACGCTAGAATCACACAATTGAACTTCAACTCATTGGCTCTAATGCTTCAGTGTTTGCCAACAAATCGGAAGTTCCTGAGCGCTATCCTTTGTAGGGTTGTGGGTGTATACCATTTAAGAGTTCCATGCTAAAACTAAATACTTGTAGAGTGCTCACCGACTTTCATTGGTACTTCATCTGGGATCAATCTGTGTCAAATACAACCTATGGATTATTATTATTATTATATGCAGCTCGTGTTAAACTGAAGTAATTCATGTTGAACTGTTTTCTTTTAAATCCCTCTACATAGGCTTATCAATTAATGAATGAACGATTTGCCAAACGTTTAGACTCATTAGCATTTAATTTTTGGCCGGTAAGTTCATTTTATAATAGTAGTATATTCTTTCACTTGTTATTGTACTTAACTATTGTACTATACCATGGTTAATAATTACTAATAACCTTTCACTACATCTATTTTTCTTTTCTTTAATTTTACTGTACTTTTCAGTATCGACCTAAAACTGGTCGTTATCCTTATCGATCATTTGTTCATTGTTTAAGATTATGTTGTCTTTTGCTAATACGGGATATTTTTTATAATCCTAAACAAGGTAAGTAGTTCATTTGTAATAGTTTGTAATTTCATATTTCTTCTGATGTTAAACATTGTAATTGTTCTTTGCCGATTACCTCGATATTCCTATTTTGTCATAATATTTTTATTTAAATTGAATAGTGGACATCCAGGACATGCATTTCATCCTGTTTGAGCCTCTTCAGTTGGATGTAACTATATCCCAATATTTATTTCCACATTGGGGCACAACAGCTTAGTGGATAGCGTGTTAAATGTTTGAAGCTCAAGGTACTGAGATCAAGTTGTCATGTAGTAGTTCACTTTTTGTGTTTATTACGCAGAGAACGGAGTAATGATTCTAATCACTTAGTACCTGAATTAGGATAAGCCTCTAAGGTCTAGATATCGAGTTCATGTTGATGGTTGTTTATACACAATGCTACTTATTTATTTAAACACATGAGCATTCGTACAAGGAGGCACCAAGTAGATATGCGCCATACAAATCATCCGATTTGTGTGAGGGCTGGGATTATATCCATGTGCTCAAACCGAGGCAGGTGGTTTCAATGGGAGGAGGCACACCCTGAGCCCTTGACTTAAAGGTCTAATCCACAGGGCAGTGGAGCAACATTAAGAGATGCAGTCCCATGGTAGCCGGTGACGAACAATATGTTCATACGTCATTTATTCATTCAGGATTCTGAAGCCCATGTGCATCATTGGTTTGGAATGAGGGTTTTCCAACTCTTGTATTTGGACTCTCGGTATTCACCAACCAATTTAAAGTGCCGGACATTCGTTTTCCGTTCTCTTAATTTCGTAAACGACCCATACTCACCGCGAGAAGGCAGTGATTAGAGTTTTCCTGGCAGTGGTTTTTGTTTACCTACTTCCGTCCATAACTAATAATCCCAGTTTTATCTTAGTTTCTGTGTTATAACCTGGTAGACTATGTTTGTCTCTTTGACTGGATCACATGTCATAATAAATAACTATCAGTTTTAATCATTTTTAATTTCTTTTTAGAAATCAGTGATAAATTGTCATCTACTGTACATAATTTCATGCTTGAAGTCTACGCATCATGTTTAACTGACGTGGCATATTTATCCGCAGAAGCAGCTGGTTTTCGTCCATTATCACCAGAAGTTGAAAATAAACCAAAGTCTTCATCAGATGAAACCACACTACCTATGAATAATGTTCGACCTCATTTTTCTAATCCTGATGATGAAAATGATACTGACGATAATAGGGTTAATGGAACAGAGAGTGAAAATCCGAAAGTGTTTGATTCTAGGAATAATTTAAAATCATGTAGAGAAAATGGTGCATTTAAAGAGACTTTGTCAAATAAGCTGTACAATGGACATTCGAACAATAATAAACAGCCACTTGGTGAAACCCATAACTTAGATGAGAGTGATGAAAATGTGGTAAGTTTCTAGTTTATTTTGTTAGTTAGTTTACATTCCTTATATCGTCACTGTTGTTTCCTAATTTTTCATGTAGTCTGTTAGTAAGGTGAATAAGAGATATCTTGAAATCAGTTGGACTATAATTCATCTGTTTCTCCAATTATCTAATTTGTGAATGGATTACTGTTCTATATTATATTATCGTGTTAAGCTTACTAAGTGATTTTTAAACCCCGTTTCTTTGATAAGTCTATGCAGGAGTCCAGTGTTATTTCTTGCAAATATCTTTTACAAATGGTTTGATTTCCATACAGAATAAATGGATAGTAGGTAGCAGTCGAGTTCCAGACGCGCGTTTCGCTCTGTTTCTGAGTCCTCAGCCAAATGTACCTGAATCCCAGAATTTGTTATCACTCCAGGACTCGAACCCAGTACCGTCTGCCTCAAACACCATCGCATCATCCAATTAGCTACTGAGTCCAGATATCCAATTACTTATGCAACGGGTATGATATTTAATTCAATTTGAAATGGTTTGGATTATCCCGTTGTTATTTTTGACTGAAGTGTGATTAGTTTTCGTTGGTATATGGGAGTGAACATCAACTCTGGGATGCAGGTACATCCAGCTGAGTCCCAAATAGGACGAGACGCGCGTCCTGGATTTCACTGCTTACCACCATCCAGCTCTGATTAGAATGAATAAATGATGTTGAATCTTGTCACAATCCATCTATTCTATATCAACTTGTGTCATAATGGGTATGTCGAGACAACCCCCACAAGATGCCTATATGCCTATATGCCAACCGAGACTGATTAAATTTTGGTCAAAAATATTGTCAACGGGTTGATCCAAAGCATTTCACATTGAATTATCTTAATTTTGTTGTTCATCATGATTTATGATAATTGCGATTTTCTTATCTGTACTCGGTAAATGAGTTACATAAACAGTTAATGGTGGTTCAGTTTATGGATTTTAGTTTTTGCTCATTTTCAAAGTTGATTCCCAATAGATCTAGTAGTCGTTATTGGTCGTTTATAAATACTACACAATGCAAGCTAATATGATGATGTAAACCACTAAAGAAAGGTCCATGTACTCAGCTTTACACATCACATTTTATGTAAACGCTAATGAAACTACTTGATTAACCAAACTAAAGTAAACTGAAAGTGTTCCAAACTTACAATCTGCTAATTGAAAACCGAATCTTCTAGTCATCAGAGTACTTGAGCGATCAAGACCAAGTTTGTGTACTATGCTTTGAATCAAATTTGTTGAATGAGATCTTAATTTACTAACTTCAGCGAATGTAATTCATAGCTATGTATTTCCATTATTCAGTGTAAACCTCGTGTGGATACTACTAAATATGAACTGAAGTAATTGGTTTTCTCCATTTTTTTTTTGAAATAACTTTCGGTTTATTTTACAACATTAATTGGAAACCTGTTTATCTAGGTCGTGAAATGAACAATCCTATTGCGTATCCAATTGATTTGCTGTATGCTAGGTGGTATCAAGCCAACAACTAATCTATCATACATCAAATTAATTCATATCACGAACACGTAATTCACCTGACTAGCACGTACATTAATCAATAATTGAATAAGTGCAAAGGTTAGGAAAATATCTGTCTGTGTAGAATAACAATCAATCACTGTCTACTTTCGCCTGAGCAACCGTTTTTTTTTCTTTTCTGCATATTCTGTTTTCTGTTTACAGATTATTATTAAATCGAAGTCCCCTCGATCAGTGATATCTTCAACTACTACCATACCGACAGAATCAAAAGTTATTTATGAAAAATCAGCAAATATTGGATCAAATCTAATTAACACTAATATTGTTAGTGTGAGTCGTGATAATGACCCACCCTCATCTTCAGCAGCATCGGTTTCGTCTTCCATGAAACCAAAGAAAAGTGTATCACAAAGTGCCAATATTAACAGTACCACTATAACAACTACGACAACATCATCCGACGGTCGAACTGATAATTCAACGAATGCATTGTTTGCGTTCGATTTGGTCACAGCATCAACAGCTGTCTGTATACAAATATTAACTAAATCAATCAAAGATATGGCAGGTATGTACATTAATATTAACAAAGTAATTAGTATGGGGAGTTGGGGGAGATTGTTGGTATTTATTGTTTACACTTTTTCTGCATGCTAACAACGTTATAAGTTTTGACCCACTAGGTGGTGCTACTGACAACGAATGACTGTCAACTGTCACAATATAATCTAACACCTGTTTTTCAAGATATAGCTATTTCTTCTGTCTGTTTATTGGGTCTAGCAACTCCTAAACATTTTATCATATTTGAAGCACCCACAAGTATACAAACATGAATGATCAGACCACAACATACTGAAGTAAAGAATCATACTTTATACACAATCAAATCATAAATGACACAAGGAGATAGAAATGAGTGGTTACTGAGTAGTAATTTAAAAATGACAGAAGTAAGTCCAACAGAAGCTCACAGCAAGGGGGGGGTAAATAAATGTAATACTCCATGAAGTGATTCAATCCCGCTCGCTGGATTCAAACCCATCGCCTTCAGTCTCGCGCGCGAACGCTTAACCTCTAGACCACTGAGCTGGCCGGCATCCAACGGTGTTAATATCTAACCTCAACCAATCCACGAAATTGCGTGACCATCTTCCATTGTACTGAGGTTTTCTAAGGTGGTCAATAGTCGAAATCAGTGGTTATTGACATCAGCTGTGAAATCGGTCGTAGTGTCGCAGTTGCATCCTTTTCCTATTTTCCTCCATACTGGAAGTTTAACATAATCTCTAACTCATTTCCCTTCATTTTTGCAAAACTACATTTTTCATACTTAGACTGCCTTTGCATTTAAAATTAAGATATCTTTTCTCCTTATCGCGCAAATTGTTCTCTCCTTTTAGTAATGCGAGATATGAATACTTGTTTCTAGGTTGATAATAGCTAGCTAACTCTTATACTTTACATCAAAATATAAATTCCTACAACAAATAACTTCACATGTTAGCAGATATCTGAACTCTTCTTAATGCATCGGAATTCATAGCTCGATAAATTTTGTTTTTGAGTCTCAGTATGAGAATCAACAACGAATTACATCGGTTTATCCAACTGACCAGTCCTAAAATGAATGAAGTGCTTATCTGTAGTACCATTGCTGTAGCCAAAATAAAAATATACTAAAAGACTTGTCGTCCAAAGAGATTATCAAAACAATCTCTAAGAAATTCACATGGGGCAACATAGTTTAATCGGTTGTAACCTTGAATATTATCAACGTCGTTAATGTACAAACACTCAATAAGTAATTAGATCTTATTTGAAAATAACGAATAAAATCATAGCAAGAAAAAAATATGAACCGTGGATGTGTACTGTTGAGGAGTCCCATACTAGGACGAAACGGTCGTCCAGTGCTTCCAGGTTTTCCATGGTGGTCTAGCTTCGATCGACTCATGAATTCAGCTATTTTAAAAAAAGAAACTATTTTCAAATAACGTCTAAATTATTATAGAAAACAGATATATCTGGATTATTACGATCCATTTCTAAACATATCGTACAACGCATCCGGTTATTTAATTTGAAGTGGAGTAGATGGATTGTGGCTAGCAGTGGAATACAGAATAATCGTCTTGTCTTATTTAGGACTCATCAGTTGGATATACTTGCATGTCGTAGCGTTGATACTCACACTAAAACTTCAATATAACACGTATCGCATTTTAAATGCAAACAAATTAACCATTATATTATTGATGTCCGATAGTTAACTAACATGTTCAACACTTAAGGAGTTATTAATATTCAAGTCTCAGATTATCTTTTTATATCGAGATCGTGTTATGTAGATTGTTGAGTTTTTGATTGAGATCATGAATCGATCCATGTTAGACCATCATTCAAAACCTGGAAGCATTAGACAACCGTTTCGTTCAAGTATGGGCATCCTCAGCCATATGCATCTATGATCCCGCCCGCATGTTAATTTACTCATATTTAAAATTTTATACTACCATCATGACTGTTAATTGCTTTACATCACTGTGTTTTTATTGGGTTTTTTTTTCTTTTTAACTTTCACAGATTCTGAAAGTTTTTTAATTCGTTTATTGGATCGTATTACAAAAGGCATTGATTTAAAATTTATTATTCAATCAGATCGTGTACTTGATTCAACATTTGTACCAACATTAAAAAGTTCCACTACTAACACTTCTACTATACCATCATTATGGGGTGTACAAAATTTACGTGGACATTTTACAATACCACAACGTCGTATATCAACAGCTATACCACAGAGTGGAGGTTATAAACCAATGAATAATTTCTATTTAACTAATTATAATGTAACATCAACATCGGTTAATTCTAATTCTGCTATTATGAATAGTATATTAAATAATTATAAAACAAAACAGAAACCACGTTTTGCACATTTAGTATGTAGTGTTGGTTTATTAGTTGTTGTATTAGATAGTGTTGGTCAATTAACACAACGTTTTCCACATTTAGGCAAAGCTAGTTTAGATGCTTTAATTAGTTTTTTATTGGATCCAAGTCCTGTATTAAGTCGATTGAATAGACAAATTGATAGATTACAACATTCAAAATCTGGTATTATGGTTCTAATTGAAACAATGAAGGTGAGTTGTTAATCATTTAAAAAGACGTAAATGTTTTCATCTTCTTCTTTATCTAAAAAAAATTAAATGAATGTCCTGTTGTTAAAGTCATGAGAGGGATTGTCACGTCTTAGTTTCCCATACTGAGGATGCATACTTCTTTTTTCAATTGTTTGAAAGTGACTGCGGATTGGCTAAATACACGTAGTTCTATATAAGAGCATTCCTAGACGGAGAGTGGGATCTTCCCAACTTCGGTCGTAGTGAAACTTCATCAGTTGAGATGGCTGGGACACGTGTTACGTATGCCCAACGACCGACTACCTCGACGTGCTATGTTCAGTGGTATAGGAGTAGGTTGGAAGAAAGATAGAGGCGGCCAAACCAAAACATGGCACAAGTCCATGAAGTCACTGACAAGTGGACTGAGTCATGTTGGTAGGTGTAGACTACCTGGTTGAGGACCACGAGATGATAGCAACCGATGGTTAGAGACCCTTAATGACATGGCTCAAAATCGTTTGCAATGGCGCAGGTGCATCCACTCTTTGTGTTCTCCCAAATTCTAATCTTCTGAATTCTTCATGTCCCTTTTTTCATCTTTCCAAATTTACTTCACTGGATTATACTCTTTAAATAACATCTCCAAACCCTAATCTTCCCTATTACTGCTTATACTCTTGCTACCTCTACCACTACGGGATTTGAATCGACAACTGCATCTCTGTGCCAAGGTGGTGTGGCAACTCGAACTGATGTACATACGTACGAAGTTCTACGTTGTTAATGACTGACTGACTGACTCGGTCGTATCAGGGCATTCGGAAGCCACATAATATGAACACAACAAAATGAAATTATCAAGACAAATGTCAAAGTTGTAAAAGCAATAACAGTATTAGTTAATAGTAGTAAAGATTAAGGATCGACAATATAATTCTAGAAGAAAGAATGCATTTTAAAATAACTATCATTATTTTAAAACGAATAGTAATTGCATTTGCATCGTTGTAACTGATTCTAAACTATGTCATTCAATGTTTCCAACTATTGATTACGATAAGCTTGCGGACACCAACCAGGTATTATGTACTTACTATATTGCTTAGTTCAGATGTTACTAGCTTGATGGACTCTAAGTCTGTCTTGGTTTGACAGACCTATATTTCTTCCAGATTCTTCCTACACTTAGAGGCTCTGGGCGTCGAGGTAGGCAGTGGTCTAAGATATGTACTACTCAATCTCTGAAGCCTAATTAGATTGATCAAGTATTGAACCTCCAATCTACTGACCTCAGTAATTCACTATCAAGCTGCAAATGGTCTTTGATTATATTCAATATTTTTTTTTAATCAGTGTATTATTTTACTTAAAACCAAACGTATTTGACTGGTCATTTGTTCTGTGTTATAAAATTCGTTCACTTTCTAAGGTTTAAATCAATAAATGAACTGTGTGTTCAGTTTTAACTAAACGACTATTTCACATCAATTCACATAATCTATCATGTTGTCATGATCATACAATATTAAATCTTCATGATAGGAATACAGATTACTTACGAGTTATTTAAGCTTCTCAGTTTTAATTTTTAAAAAGCTTACTCTTCTCATTAGATATATCATAGTTGATCACAAAGCTATTTACTGATACCTAACACTTTTCATAATGAGAATTATAAATCCATCTAATAAATCATACTCATCATTGATTTCTGTTTTGTGTGTGTGTGTGTGTGTGGTTGATTCAAACGAACGAAAATGTTTACCTAATCAGCATTTGAACTGGATTACTGACACAATCTAAAACTAACGTGATCAAGTACACATTCCTGTAACAATGTTCATATTGTGACCGGGTTTAGCAGTTCAAGAAATATATTTTTTTAAAATTTTAAGACCAAATATACATAAAAGTCGTCCGAATACTGATACTGATATACATATTTCTTAAACACTGTCCTAATCCATCTGCTTGAATGAGAGGACTGAAAGCGAGAAGGAAGCTTTATTCATTTAAAGCAAGTTAAGCATAAATCTTTCTTTGAAAATAAATGATAGAAATCAACAACGATTACGGCTAAAATACACCCCAAATCTGTCATTCGTAGTGCTGAATGGTCATTTAAGAACAAAGTAGGAGAATTCCGGATGGATTGATTGTCGATGTACAATCATGCGGACAAAATTCACAACAGGTGAAATGTTATGTTTGGTTAACCGAGCTAATACTAATAATAATATCAACGTTGTGTGATTGATTGTAATGTATGATTAAAGCAGTGTTGTCAGAATAATTACATCATTAATGGTAAGAAATCCACGTGGCTTGGGAAAGATAGGTATGGAAATTAATAATATGGCAGAATAGAGAAGTACATTTGATAAAAGAGATTGGATGTTAAGATTTTTTAATACGTGGCATTTATGTTTGTAGTTACCCAATAAAGTCATATATTACAAACTTGTACCCGTCCTAATGTGCTTATTTCATATGTATAAGTGAAAACACATTGGTTTAGCTTTTTGTGATGAATAGTTTACAGGATTAAACCTTACTCTACTTACTTCGTTTTAGATAACTGGATAGTCAACATACTACCAGTCACATAACTAAGGTATAGTTGAAATCCGAATATGTTTGTAAGTTTGGTAAATAAATTACATAGTAATTCGAATAACTTATAGACATGTTAATAGGTCCAAACTAATTTGTTGAGGTTCATCTGATAATTCCATGCAATGGTGTAAAATAATGAGTAACATAGATTACGATCGGTAAAATTTGTTCAGTATAAGGTTGTGGAGGTTATTAAGTTTTTGATTGAGATCATGAACTGATTGATATTAAACCACCATTGAAAACCTGGAAGCACTGGATGGCTGTTTCGTCCTATTGTAGGACTCCTCAGCAGTGCGCATTCAAGGTCCCGCCTTGCGAGGTTCGTAGGCCCTGGATTCGAATCCCGCGAGTAAGATCGTGGGTGCGCACTGCTGAGGAGTCCTACAATAGGACGAAACGGCGGTCCAGTGCTTCCAGGTTTTCCATGATGGTCTAGCTTCAATTGACTCATGATCTCAACCAAAAATCTGTTCAAATTTGTCCATTATCTATCTTCCCGTAGAGCTTAACTACCAATACTCTTTCACAAATACTATCTGATACTACATTGAATTTCATCTTTGACAACTTGAGCTATTGTATATTTTGATATCAGGTTTTATTCAATGATTATAATCTGTTTGATCTTGAGGTCAATGATTGGTTTTTGTTTCTTTTTTGAAGATTTCTTTCTGGTTTTTTTCCTTATTTCATAGAAGACCAATTCAAGTTGTTCATTTGTTAATTATGAGACCCAATTAATTGAATTATCTAGAATTGAACGACATTTAACTTATTATAATCGTATATTGGAACACGTACGTGGTGCTGCAATTGAAAGTCTTTGTCGGTAATAATTAAAAAAAAATTGATTAAATTCCATTTGTTTTATTAATTAAAAAGTAGAAAATTTAATTTTTATTTAATTTTTAATGAGAAAAATTAGGGAATAAATGGATTTTTAATAATAGTAGAGTATAAGACGGATTGATTGATGAACAGGGTGGATCTGATGCAGATGTGAAGGCGCGGATCGGCAAAGCAAGAGCAGCATATTTACAACTGAAGAACATCTGGAACTCAAAGCAACTGTCAACCAACACCAAGGTCAGGATTTTCAATACAAATGTCAAGACAGTTCAACTGTATGGGGCAGAAACCTGGAGAACTACAAAAGCCATCATCCAGAAAATACAGGTGTGTATTAACAATTGTCGACGCAAAATACTTCAGATCCATTGGCCGGACACTATTAGCAACAGCGAACTATGGGAGAGAACAAACCAGATCCCAGTGGAGGAAGAAATCAGGAAGAAGCGCTGGAAGTGGATAGGACACACATTGAGGAAAGCACCCAACTGTGTCACAAGACAAGCCCTCACATGGAATCCTGAAGGTCAAAGGAAAAGAGGAAGACCAAAGAACACATTACGCCGGGAAATGGAAATAGACATGAGAAAAATGAACAAGAATTGGTTGGGAATAGAAAAGAAGGCCGAGGACAGAGTGGGTTGGAGAATGCTGGTCGGTGGCCTATGCTCCATTGGGAGTAACAGGCGTAAGTAAGTAAGAGTATTAGACGGTCATTTCATCTGATTAGGGATTCGTCAACTGAATGTACTTGAATTCTAGTGTTGATATTTTCACTCGGACCTAAGTCTTTGTCTACTGTATTCAATAATAATTAACTTGTTCAGTGTGTATGATGTATGTATCATCGCTAGCAAGGGTTTAAATTATCTCATTACTGATAGTTGGGACTGAATTTTGATAAATATTACTTGACATGTGGTATATATTTGTGTGGATTGTTTCACTCTGTCTATTCCGTCATAAGTTTTATGTAGAATGAATAGACTGTAGCAGTAATGAAATTGAGAGCACATGTTCAGTTAAAATCCAGTTCTAATTTTCAACAACGGGATACTTGGAACATATTTTGATAATCCTAATTAATATCAGAAACTGATCTTTTTTGAGAAACCATATAAACCTAGAATCATTGGACATCTGTTTTGTCCTACTGTGAGACTTCTAGACAGCGCGTATTCAGAACATCACCATCGGGAATCGAACGCATGACCTTCGGTCTCGACTTATTAAAGATGATATAATATTGTAGCAATCAATTTGAAATGCATTCTCTTCTTTTACAACCTTATTTTATCAGTTTATTTGAATCTCTTCATATCCTCTTCAACCAGTTTTTTTGTAAATTTCCTATTTTCTTTTTTAGCATCCTACTACTTACTCCCAGTTTTATTGAAACATTTCTAGCGGATTTATCATGTCGAATATTCAATGCTGCGGAAAGTGATCGGTAAGATAGTTTTGTGGGTTGATACGCGTTAAATCTATTTTTCATTAACTCTATGGTTATAAGTGCAAGGGGTTTGTGTTGATTACTGGATTTTTATGATTTACTTCACGGACTGACCTCAGTCAGATTGTTATTGAAACTTAGATTCTGAATGTCATGTAATCGACCTCCTTTGAGATCGTAGATGTGCACTGCTATGGAGTAGCTTTATGCTAAATCTAAACAGATGCACACTGATTTTTTGGTTTTCAGTGGTTGTCTAGCTAATGTCAATCCGTGTTGTAACCTATACAATTTTGTATACTTGGTTAAACTTTGAAGATTTCATAATGTTAAACAGTATTTATGCTAAGAATTGTTTTATTCTCCGTTATTCGTTATTGTTCTCATAATTAATTACTGAATAATTAAACTATTAGCTATTCTAATTAGATTCGCTTTATTCTTGTAAACTATTGATAAGATTCTATGCAAAGGTGGATAGTGGCTAGCAGTGGAATCTAGGTTGCGTGTTTCGTCTTATTTGGGACTCGTCAGCTGGATGTTCCTGCATCTCAGAGTTGATGTTCACTCTGGGACTTGATAAGATTAATAATACATATGGATTATCTGACTCACACTTAACAAGTATAGAAATATGTATTCAGTTTTGAGTTACACTCGTATGTATTAGCAGGTAAGCAATTAAACCACTTGACTGTCTACCATTAGAACTATTATTCTATCTCCACTCTGCACTTACCATTTGGGCTTCCTCACCCGAGTAATGTCTTCATTCATATCAACATATTTGTTAAGCGATCTTGTAGTGTTTAGTTGCAATTCTAACCCCAAATATGAAGACATGTGATCCACATTCATAAACATGTACGCGTCATTTTTTGCTCATTTATATTTTATATCGTTTTCAGTTATTCATTTTATTCAATACTATCTATTCCCCCTCATAGTTTATCATAGATGATAAGGTTACTTCCATTGTGGGCAAGTATTGCCTAATGCTTTTCATAAAAAGTATTCTCATAAACACACTGTATTATTGATCTATGGAATTCGAGGCGTATTGAGAATCAGGTGAACATGATATTTGTTATAATTCAGTACTTAAAGAAGGTCATTTGCTGTCCAACTAACTTACTGATAACGTTTCAGATTGTAAAAGTACTAGATGTGTCTTAAAAACCCATGGGGAGTATCATTTCCCTGGAGATTAGAAATATGTCTTTCTGATGAGTAAGAAGTAGCACAAAACTTAGGTTTATGTTTCTTGCCGATTCTTTCTAACGATCCAACATTGTGTACATAATGTTGAACTACGTAGAATGATGGTTACATTGTAACATGATCTTCACATAGGTAACTGAGCAAATATGACATTTTGACAGAATAATGAGAAGACGGAGCTAAACTAATCCCATTGTTTTATTAACATTTATAAAAGGGATCAATCGCTTTATAACACCAATTATTCATGTGTGAGCAGTTCATCGCATATCATGATGTTTCCTCGGCGAACCAGTTAACTTAGAGAATTCACAATGATTGTTCTGTGTTCAACTTTGTTCTTTCGATTACAGCGGTAATTCATCGTTTTACACAGAACATCATCTTTCCTGCATGATGGTATATCATTCAGAGTATTTAGCTTTTTTTTACTGGATAAGTTGCCATTATTATCATCATTCTCATCACTAACGTCATTTTCCTATTAGTTGGTATAATTATAAAAGCAACAAATTAATCGATTCACTGTACCTTTAATACGAAGGCTAATGATACTACTTAGTTGCTTGAACCGAAGGTATACCAAGTCTTGAACATAAGACTTAGACGCCCGAAGTTAAATGCCTTAATCACTAAGTCAAATTAAATGTTTTCTGTTGAATGATGCGTATCAAACAGATTCCTGTTATGTTACTTTCATGAACTTAATCTTTATGAGAAATTGTCGACTATTTTGGATTTCTTTAATTGATGCTAATAACACGGAAAGATGTGTATAGTTGAACAGTCAATTCTTACAAAGTTCCAATTAACATGTTATGTGCTAGGCATATAGGATAGTTAGTCATAGATAACAGAAGAAACCATTACAAGTGTACATTCGCATTATCAATATTCAAATTGTCAAAACAATAATTTTAGCTAACATGTAATGTCATTCCCATAAGTTAGAAATATCGATAATTAGTCTTATTGTATTACGATTTATTTCTATTGCCAAGTGCCGTGCATACATTGATATCAGAGAGCTGCATTCGTTGTAATAAAACTTTGTAGTTGTTTGATAGACTATTGTAATTAGCTATCAATGATGAAGGACCTTATCTTTCTACTAGTCAGTCAGAATAGAATAGTACCCATATTTTTTTTCAGTTCCAACCTTAAGTGTTAGAGTTTATTTACAATTGAACTGACCGTGCAAAAAATCTCCCGAGGTCTTCAACAACTCATTATGGTTACCGAATGCTCCACCTACCAACCCATTGCTCACTGGAATAGCCAATAAATTTATACAATGATTCAGTCTTCTTTTTTTTTTATTTTAACCACATCCTTCTTTCTCCTCATCTATAGCAATCAAAACAATCTGTTAAAGTAAACGGTGGTAGGATATTCCTAAGTTATATCTCAGTCTTCTCATCCAATAAAGATTTAAAATGTCATCAATAAGTGGGTAATTTTTACCTAGTAGCTTACATTTCACCTTAATCATTGGCAATTCTTCTTTTTTACTGTATTCGATGTATACTTTCAAGACGATTATATATTTTGAATTGTTAAGAAGTATGACAAAAATTCTAGGCGCCCATTGTTTTAACGAACAATTACAAATTCTTTCATTGTATTTTTCTGTTGCTTTTTTTCCTCAACTACGTATTGTAACATCTAACCTCTTAGTTTGATTTAATCGTTAATTTTGTTAAATGTATGTTTCTAAGGTAGTTGTCGTGTTACATATAACAGTAGTTAACTTTCAGATGCAAAATTATTAAAGGAATGTGATCTGTACAAAAAGATCAGACAGTAACACCTTCATACTGTCATCTTACGTAAGCGACTATTATTATTATTATTATTATTATTCATCGATGACATTCTGGAAACAGCTCTGATGGATATAAGTAATAGTGGTGTGGATCTGTTGCCTGGAAAAAGACTTCTCGACCTTGAGTATGCGGATGATATTGTCGTACTGTGCAATAATGCCCAAGCCATGCAATCCCCACTTAATCAGTTGGCAATCAATGTCCGTAGGTACGGCATGTGCTTTGTACCTTCGAAATGCAAAGTACTTCTACAAGACTGGCAGGATTCTAATCCTGTACTCACTCTGGATGGTGAGCAGATAGAAGTAGTCGAGAAGTTCGTGTATCTGGGTAGCTGCATAATTGCTGGTGGGGGTGTGAGTGATGTGATGAATGCACGTATAGTGAAAGCCAGAGCGGCTTTTGCCAACCTGGGCCATCTTTGGCGCCTTCGTGATGTTAGTCTAGTTGTAAAAGGTCGGATCTACAACGCGTCGGTGAGAGCAGTTTTGCTCTATGCTTGTGAAACCTGGCCTCTCCAAGTTGAGGACGTTAGACGACTCTCTGTGTTCGATCATCGCTGTCTCCGAAGGATTGCTGACATCCAGTGGCAACACCATGTTAGTAATGCCGACTCTGGGACTGGTTGGAAAGAGCGGAGAGGTGGTCAGTGTATGACATGGTGTTGGGTTATGAAAGAAAGCTGCAAAGGGCTGGCTTGTGTTGGTCCTTCACGACTCCCTGGCTGGGGTCCGAGAGATGGTGCTACACAGTGGCTGGAGACGTTATCAGATATGACTCAGAATCGAAGCCAGTGGCGATTCTGCTGTAACCTTCTCTTACTTTCTTCATAGAAAGTGGTTGTTTCCCCCTTAACTGAAAGATTTCTTGTGATTATACCTTTCCTTTCCCCCCATTATTATTATTATTATTATTATTATTATTATTATTATTATTACTATTATTATTACACTACCTTACACTAGTCTGTACGTTATTGTTCTTTTTCTCTGTCTTCTAATTCTCATTGTTTTGTGTGGCGTATATATGTTTGGTGCCCCTCTTGTACCAATATTTATGTGTTCAAATAAAAAGATAATAAATTATTATTATTATTATTATGATATGTGATATGATAAATTAGACTGGTTAACATTATGTTGACATCAAAGTTTGGCATCCAGACATAATACTTTCTAGACTGACACTAAAGTCAATCATATTTTAGTAATGAGTAATAAATATTGAATGTGAAGAATTGACAACACATTGGTGAAACGACTGTTGTAAAAGGATATATCACTTACAATCATTAAATACGTTTCAGAGTATTTAATCCCATCAAATTTCAGAATGTTTGGTAGGGATTTCGTGGAGATGACGAGGTGAAAATTAGAACAAAGTGTAATATCAATATAAAAGCAAAGGCAGGATTTCTACAGTTGAAGAACATATTGAACTCAAAACAATTGTCAGCCAACACTCAAGTCAAAATCTTCAATACGAACGTCAAGACAGTTCTACTGTACAAAGCTGGAACTTGGAGAACTACTACAACTATAATTAAAATAAGTACAAATATTTATAAACAATTGTCTACGAAGGATACTCAATGTCCGTTGGTCGGATACCACGAACAACAGCCTACTGTGGATGAGGATAAACCAGCCTCCACCTGATGAGGAAATTAGGAAAAGACGATGGAAGTGTATATGACATACATTTCGGAAATCATCATAATGCATCACGAGGCAAGCACTAACTTTTTTTGAAGTCTCGTTATACGAAGTATGTTGGTTGGAGAGCCGCGAGAACATAAGTAGCAAGCTGTGATATAAGGTCTTAAGATGACGTACTGCTGATTGTCCTGAGATGTAGGTTCAGTGAAGTGTTCTTCCCTGATACCTAATATCTCAAGCGATTTTAACAAAAGTGAGAGTTTAGACAAATTCGACCCTAAAATTAGCACAC